AAATGAACGTTGACCATATGTTTTACGTTTATTTTTAAGTAAATGGTCTTGATGAAGGTGTTTATCAGTGGAATGAAGTGCACAGAAGGGAACATAGGGTGTAAGAAACTGCAAGAAATACATGAATTCTAAATTCCTATTTTATTTTTTCTAACCAGTCTTTTACAATGTTGCAGTGGACTACTTTCTACAGTATAATGATATATAGGCCTACAGGATGTTTGCATTCTTTTTATCCTCCCTGAATGAATCCGTTAGCAGCCTAATATAATATATAACCAAGCTGAATGTACCCCCAATATTGCATCCACTGTAAATTATTATTTTTATTAAAACTTTTCTAGTGACTTTTGCTCTCTTTAAGGCAAACTGTATTCATGGAAAACCTCCAGAGAAGGCATGTGAATAAAAAAGATGATTCTTCGTGATTTAATTAGTGTAATCACCTAAATCAGGTCTAGTCCTCGTTCACACACGCTGGACGCTCACTCGCAGATTCTGTTCAAGGATGAGAGGACAATTTCATAATCTAATGCTTGCATGGAATTTCAACGTGACATCGGGAGGGATTTTAAGATAATGAACTCGATGACAGCTTTAAATAGTTGAAGGATATTTTTTTTTTATAGATAGAGTGGTCTAATACTTTTCCTTGTCTCTGTTTATTAATTTGGTTTTTTTGCATAGACATTTATACTAATAATAATAATTGATATTATTTATTTGCACTTTCTAACTATATATTTATTTATTTTAAACATTTAACTTTTAAATACTGGCAGTAGTTAGTTCAATAAATTTTAAAAAGCAATAAAAAAAAATGGCAGTATATACAACTTCCATTTTGTCAATTTACTTGTTTTGGTTTTTTTTTTCCATTTATTGTTTATTTGTTTAATTTTTATATATGTGTGTGCTATCCTTATACTACTCTAGAATAACTTTAGTGCTGAAGCACTGATTCCCAAATTGGTCTGGTAATTCATAAATGTAAATGTATCATACAGAGCATACTCCAGGCCTATACTACAAACTAAAGAACTGTATATCCATGGAGCTATGAGAATTAAATGAAATACATGTATTGCACTGTAGGCCCATTGCTTAAAACAAATAAACTATCAAGTAAGATATAGTACACTAAGGTCTACGATATGCTTTAGACCATGCTTCCATTCAAACCCATGCAAAACTACTCACAGACCTTGTCCCATTGTGCTGAGTGGCTTCAAGTGGTTAATTGGTATTGTTAAAATTTTATAGAAAAGCAGTTTTTATTATGCCATTCAAAATCACTGTTTTTGTTTTCTACCAAACTACTGAATTACCACAATGAATGATTAATGAAATGCCATTCAGAAAGTGTTGAATAAGAACTCCAGTAAACCTTTGGGACAATGAACTTTAAAGTAAAATATAAACTGAGTTAACTGAGTAATTTAAGATGTAATTTCAATTCAATAAGAATTCAAATTAGAGTTGGATATAATTTGTAGGAAAACTGGAGAAAACAGTCTGAAAAATACAAAAGGCAGCAGGCTGTCTTTTTTCCATTAATTTTAGTAAGTCCCATAATATCAAATATAAAAATAACTCACTTTGAATTTATTATTAGTTTTAAAAACAGATGCTACTAACACCCTCCCACATATGGATTATTAGATTTTTTAAAATGGCAAATGCCATATCACATGTAACTTTTATTTGCATACAAGTAGATAAGCATATAGTATACATACAGTACACACATAATCTTATTTAATAATATATCTTGAATAGTTTTTGTTAAAAGAAAAACTGCATGATGGCGATTTGAGCATGCATCAATGATTCAATAATGATTATAATTGATCTGAATAAGATCAACGTTCATATTCATCAGACTCGTTGGTATTAAATTGATCACAATCAATATGTTAAAACAAAATGAATGGAAAGATTTTTTTTATGAAGCTGAGTAGTTCACAACAATGCTACCTAGCATACTGAAAAATCACTGGTTTCTGTGACTGTGGCAACAATTGTGATACTAAAAAGAAAGTTGGTTATACTGTATTGATTTTACTATGTAAATATACACAATTTATTTCCCGGTATAAAGCCTGACAGTTTTATCAACAAGATTAAATGCACAACTTAAATATACTGCTACACAAAATTGATTATGCCTAGTAATTCCTAGCATTGTAGCAAAGTCAAATAAAATTATACTATTGTATTGTCACAAGTGTCCAATAAAATCGTAATATGGTAGTATAGCATAGGTAAATTTGCATCACGAGTTGAACAGCTGGAATGATTTTTTTGAAAGTATGATCAAATAATACGGAGTGAGAGAAATATATTTATAAATCTGGAAACATGGAGGTTTCTGACTAACCATTACATTGTCATCACCTTCACCACAGGGCGTAAATTATCAGTGAACTTCCATGTTACAAATTTCTCAACCCTTTACTTTGGCCATCTTGTGGTCAGATTTTTATCTGATTCATACATACAGCATATTTCAACCGATATTTCTCATATTCACTCACATACGTTCCATCCATGTGAATAAAAACCAGGTAAAAGGCTCATTCGAAATGCATGGTTGCACTAATATCAATAAAAAACATTTCTGACATTGCCTAATTATTGCAACGGAATCATGAATCATGTTTATCTTCACTTTTCCTTATATCATTGTATAGATCAATTTCCGCAAATGTCTGTTATATGTCTGTTTGTACAACAGAACATAGGGCTTTTCCTCATTGATGTAATGAGAAATGAAGTTAAACATGGACGTAAAGTATGTTACGCTTGAAATTTGTTTGTGTATTATATTTACTTTTCGTCTGAATTGCTATTTGGATTGTTGTGTTGGTAGTGATATAATAAATTACGGTTCCTACTAATCCTTAATGCAACAGAGCAGATATTCTTAACTACTGTACTATAAAATTTGCAGATGCTGATAACCATGAGAACTAAACATATCAACTCTAATGCCATGCTCTGTCTTAAAAGCCAAAACATATGTTTGACATTGAAAGACTAATCAAGTTCAAGTCCTCCATACCCACTTACTGAACCAATTAAATGGTCGTAGTCTCCTTGTCTGGCTAGATTCCAAAGTAGATGTTTCTTGAAACATACCACCATGTTGAAAACTATTGTAAAACTAGGTAAATTTATAATACTATTTTATTATTTAATAATTATACATATTTATTATATAGTTGTGGATGCTTTTATTGGTGGGTGAAAATTCCTTTGTGTTAAGAAGCATATATAAACATTTTAAGGTGGTATGATTATCAAGCATGATGATGTTTTAATGTGTTTGTGAATGAACTTACACAAACATTTTAAGGAGCACTCTTGGCGACAGACAGTATCATATAGCTCCATGTTTATGCATAGAGGCTGTTTATTGTTTATGGTATTGTTGCTAGACCACTTAACTGTTTTTGTCCAGACATTAAAGAGATTAGTGGAACTTGTTGAATGACTTGTCCTCTTGTGAATTACTGGTAAATCAAATAAACATTGACTATAAGGAGCTCAGCAGGCATTCCCTAATGATGTCATCAACCAACCATAAATCAAGCACTTGGGATGGGGATCAACCATTATTAAATGGGGTTGTTAAGAAATGTAATGAATTGATCCTGATGGGTTTTTTGTAATACATTTTTACAATCAGATAGAGTGGAGTCATTGGTAAAATGTAAATCAGTTTGCCTATCCATCAGTAAAGCATTGTATCATAATGTTTTGAAGGTAAACAATTGAACACCAATCAGCATGCTTATCTTGTATCATGTGCTATATATCTACCAATTGCAACACCTTGGCTCTCAATAGAGCATTAATGCAGTAATTGAAGGTCAACTACTATTGAATGTGTTAAAATATGTCATCAAGAGCCACCAACAACAACTCGCTATCTACCAATTATTAATGTGATGAGGCATTGAAATCAGAATGATTTTGTTGTTATTACTACATACGGTAACTGCATTTGCTGGAGAGCAATTGAAAATAAGTGCTTCACTCTAAAAGTCTAAGGAACCATTGTTCTCATTGAAAAATGTGTTCTATCATATTTAGTGACTGATTGATTGATTGACCAATTTATTTCTGTAGATAATGGAAATTAATTTATTTGTGATGTTCATTTTGAGGTCTACTGACTTGGCCTACTTTAAATATGAAGTAATAATAATATGGGACTTTTTCAAATTGTTATTTTTATTCACAATCATTCATTAGTGTAATTTTTTATTTTATTTATTCATTTGGCATTACAGCCCGGGAGTCGCAAAAGCAGGAAACCTACTGTACTGTCACCAAAAGGACATGTGACTCCCTTATAATAATAATAATATGGTTGTAATTGTATAATTTTATTAGGCCTATATATTAATAGGCCTATGTATTAAAAAGGCCTGTGTATTAATAGGCCTATGTATTAATAGGCCTGTGTATTACCAGGGAGCATTTCCCTGGTATTACTCTTACAGTTATTCTTATTCATTAGAATTTTATTTCATCAAAATCAAATTATGCAATTAACCTATCATCAATTAATTAAACATGTGATAATTCGTGACCTTTGAAATTGTGCACTGTTCTTTTTCTAACTATTAACTTAGTATTTTAAGTGGTTATCAATAAAGATAAAAAAATAGGGATGATCTTATATGGACATCATTCTCCTAATGCAAATACCACAATACTCTACAAGAATATCCCTACTTACGAACCACTATCTACTGTACTATCCAAGGTATTTTTTAATTGGAAGTTGGTTATTTCTAGAAAGCATGTTCTGTATGTTAAAACACTGATGTACTTCGTCTTCCACTGTTCCGAAAGGAAAATCAACTGATTTGATTGATTTATATATTGATTGATTGATTGATATTAACAAATGATGATACCATTCCTGTTAACAATTTTCGTTCCATGTCTTCTCCTGCTTTATTTTCTGAATGATTTCTTCTTTCCAGAGGAAAGGTGGATCCGCCTTCAAGATAAAGCAAAAGCAAGGACGCAAGCATTGGAGCAGGCAATCAAAAGTCTGAGTGACTTTGAGTCTGCTCACAACCGACTGAAAACATGGCTCAGCGAGAAAGAAAAAATGATGTCCGTGTTGGGACCAATTGGAGTCGAACCAGGAATTTTACGCAATCAGAAGCAGCAAATTGAGGTAAATGTTGTAACATGTTTATCCAAGCATTAGAATGATAATAATAATAATAATAATAATATTTATTTCACTCTTACATCAGTAGCACATTTCGAAAAATAAAGGTGCTTCCGAAACTCAAAACTTAATGACATATGATTATAAGATACATCAACTTACAAGAACAGCAAAAAATTAAAACCAACTTTGAACAGCTTAATAAATCCCTTATCCCCCTCTTTCCCTGATAATATTATCCCTCCCCACTAAATAAAACTACTAAACCTTCCCCCTTAGCAAAAATACAAATAAATAAGTACCCTTCTTCCCTCCCTAAACCTTGCAAACATTTACCCCTTCCCCTTAAAACTTAAACATAAGATGTAACATCAAAACCGTAAAGCAGGAACAAAAAGAAGCTGCTAGTGCATGATGATGTTCTCAATCATTATCTAAATCACATGATCATTCTAAAACTGCAGCTGTGACAAGCTAAAGCTAATTTTGTCTTTGTAAAATCTCATCAGGTTCTCCAAGAAGAGTTTGCAAGCCATGAGCCTCAAATGGAATACATCAAAGAGGCTGGTAAGAACCTCCTCGAAAAACAAGATCCACAGTCCAGATTAGACTCTGCACTCCAGCAACAAATTAATGACATCAGTAAGCAATGGGATGATCTTAAAAATCGCCTTGATGACCGAGAAGATAAGATTGATAATGTACTATTAGAAAGTGAGAAGTTCCATGACAACTTACAGGACTTCTCTGACTGGTTGACTGGGTTTGGTAACAAGGTCACTGCACTACCAGCTATTGGTGGAAACCCAGAGGCTGTTAAACAACAGATGGAGAAAACAAAGGTAAATCAGAAATACAAATAGAACAAATCCACTATTTTCACAATATCCATGGCAATATGGAGGCGCTGAATTGCCTTTTTAAAAGTGGCCTCACAAAATAGTCCTAGTGTAGGATGAATTGGAAGTCCCATTTTTTGTGGGAGCTTCATTTTTCTCATGCTGGCTAAATTAAAATTCTGTTTATAGGTCAATAATTATCTTACCTTTCATTCAGTAACACCAAATAGTGTAAAAAATAATCCTCTACAAATTTATTCCATTCCATTTTTACTAAAATGTTATTTTCAATTTTGATTTATTGATTCCCAGAACCTTCAAAGAGAAGTTGAAAACAAGAGCCCTCAATTACAAGCTCTGGCAGATGGCCAACGGAAGCTTGGTGTACTCAACCCTGAGTTGACTGCTACTGCGGAGGTCAGTCTGAAGCTGGACAGTGCTAAGGCGCCTTACCATGACATCTGCAGGAAGCTAGGTTGGTTATGTCTGATCACCTTGAATTTTTCATTAATGACAGTTCTGGTGCTCATTTCATTTATAAGTTTCAAGAAGTAAAAAACATCAATAAAAACAATAAATGCTCATAAAGGACAATAAATATAATAAAAATTAATTATATACAATTATGGTACACCATGTGTAAGGATATGGTTTTTGAAAGATTAAACTCTGGTTGATTCTCTCTCGACGTTTCGATGAGATTGCTGTGACTATCATCAGGAGACCTCTAAATAGAGAATGGTGATCGTCAGTGATCATTGTTATGTTAAAACAAAGAAAATAAAAAAATAAAAACAATATAGTTATTAATATGTATATTAATCATGATTTTGATTTTCTTTTTTCTTAATCAGATGAGAGGCAAGGTAAGCTTCAAGCAGCACTGCTACAGTCACAAGACTTCGAGGATTCTTATGCCAACATGCTGCAATGGTTAGGAAGCAAAGACAAGGATCTAGCAACAACAAAACCTATCTCAGCCAAACCAGAGGTCCTCAGAAGGCAGATAATTGAATTTGAGGTGAGGGTTCTTCATCTGTCATTTTGTCAGTTACTATCATTTATTTATTTGTTTGTTTATTCTTATTATTTTTATTAAATAATTATTTATTTGTTCACTTACTTATTATTTTCTCAACTAAAATTGAAGGAAAATCCTTGGAATTAAAGGATTTAAACAGTTTTCATCATGAACAGTAATAAATTTAACTGAAAATGTACCATTAGCTTGTATTAGACATTTAATTCAATAACAATTCTCTTTTAATGTGAATGACACCTGTTCATCTGGTGAAAGAGATCTGATGCCTAATACCAAATTACTGGTCCATAAAATTCTGTTTCACCTTTATTGTACCACTGTTATGATAATTGAATTATACTAGCTTTCTATATTTACAATACTAATCATTTTGTTCGTAGGAAACACCAAAGGAATTAGTGAAACAAGTTTACACATATGATCGTATGATCGAGAAAGTTCAAGGGTTAATGGACGAAGCTAAGTTCGGTCCTGAGTATGATGCCCTCAAAGAAAAACATGATAAACTAAAAGACCATTGGGATAACGTAAACCATATGGTGGGCAATCGACAGGAGAGATTGAACACAGCAAACGAAAAATGCAAGGCATATACGGATGAACTCAACCAGTTCTTGCCATGGTTACGCACAACAGAAGATCGCTTAGCATCCGTTGGTCCTGTTTCAACAAAACCAAATGTAGTCAAACGTCAATTAGATACACTTAAGGTATTACATTTTTGGTTAATGCATATTGTAATCAACTGTAGTGTATAGATCTGTAAAATGAATGTATTGAAGGAAGCAGATATGGTGTGCTCATCCCCAGCTATATGCACAATAAACAGGAAATGTGTTTGTAGTATCAATACACTGTTTAATATCATGATTTTCATATATTGAAAGCATCTTAATGAGCAGTTACAAGCATATGATGATCATCATCCCCACATGGATTTCTTGGTTGATGTGTTCAATTTAGTACGTTTGAGATAGTTTAATTGGTTTTAATATTTCTGTTTAATCTCTGTGATATATTATGGAAAATCCTCAAGAATTCCACAAAAACTTATTGCACATTTCAGTAGATTATGACGAGGTCAGCTTCCAATGAAATACATAATTAAAACTATCTGGTTTTATGATATTTTAGTATGAAAATCCTTAGAATGCCTTCAATAATGAAGGCAAAAAATATAAGAATAGTAGTATTTAAGAATTTGCTAATTTGTGGAGAATTTTCTATTAAAAACTATTGAATATGAAGTAAGCACAAAGCAAGTACTAACATAAGACAGTATACAATATCCTTAAGCTGGTTTGCTATTCATCATTTGCTGAATCAATTGCATGTGACTTACTAATGTAATGTAGAGCATCCCTGGTATTATGTGTCAGACATAATTCCAGTATGTAATTGCATGCATATGTTATGTTTATCATATTGATTTTGGCATGCTTTAGTCATCTGCTAAATTTCCTTAAGACTCATTTATGTTAGACATAGCTAACCCTGGAGTAATTTACTTTCCTTAGCAAATACATGATGATATTAACAACCATCGAGACCATCACCTCGCTACCAACACAACGGCAGAGAAGCTGATTGGCTCCACTGATGTCGACCATCCATTCATCAGTGATGAAGTCACTGAGGTCAACCGACGATGGGATAATCTCAATGAAGGTGAATATAGTTATTTATAGTTTTTTTTTTTTTTTTTATAAGATTTGACCGATGAGACAAACAACTGGATGGGGTTCAGATAATTTTGGTAGGCCTAAGTATTATTCCTGAATGTCATTTTGACATTCAGCAGTGGTGATACATTAGTTTGCCTAATATCTGAATTCACTGCTAGTTAAACCAAGGAGAAATTGTTTTTAAAACATCAAAATGTAAATGCATAAAGGTAGTAACCCATAACTCGCAGCATCATTGTGCTGAATTGCATGTGGGCACGGGTCTGTGACTACTGTAGCTGTCGAAGCAATTAATTAAACAAACCTTTTAACTACTGTAGTAAGAATTGATGAGTCTATTTCATGAATACTTACGTGGATAAACCGATAAATGCCTCTCAAACATAAAAGAAAAATAATAGGCTCGCCCTAGCTCACCTATATTCGCCCTGCGTGAATAAACAATATCCTTGTTTTCTTCTCGCCACAGAGTGATGTTGATGGGTTGAAAGATAGCTTACCTACTCTATGTTTAGAAGTGTCTTTTCTTCGTGGTTCTGCAGACAGAACCGCATGATTTGGTTTTGATAGCGCCCATGTGTAGCCTGGCTATGTGTGGGCTTTATTTTTCTAGCGTTTAGCATGGTTTGTGTTATTGTAACAGGCTTTAATTTTACGCATCTATTATCTACGCCCACTGGGCCTGTGTGATGCTGCTGTGTATGCTGCCTCAGTGATAGACAGCTGCTTCTACTTAGGAGAGCTGGGTATCGGCCTTCGATGTTGTCCTGAGTGTTGGTTCCATTACATGACACAGATGGAAGTTTTTGTTACTTATGTCGTATACGATATTGGGCAACCATAAATAGCATTTTGTTTTTCATTTTGGGCCAGGCCTAGTCCTCCCCTCATTAGCTGATCGTTTTTCAGTTAGTCTAGGCATACCAGCCTGCTACTACTACTGGGGAACTCCCCTACTGATTTGTTTTTCTTTTGTTTTTTGTAGACATGAAAACCCAGCTCTTAGCACATGAGGATTTAGCCAACAAACTTGGAGAATTCCATGAAAAGCTTAAAGATTCCCAAACTAACATCAGTCGCTTCGAAGAAAGACTTGCATCCCATGATGCACTGGGAATGCTTGGACGAGATCCAAAGAACCTTGAGAAGTTAAAGGTGAAGTAAAATTTTAATGCCTAATATAAAAAAAAAAAAAAACAATAGCCAATTTTTTTTTATTCAAGTTAATTCTCTATTAAAATGGTAAAACATTCTTTTTACCTTTCCATTCTTAGGCACTTCAGGACGAAGTGGATGAGATAGATGGAGCCATCTGTGCAGTCCACGATATGAGTGGCAACCTAATGTCAGCTGCACCATCACCTAATGAATCAGCTCACATTCGTGATGAAGTGGATGGTATGAAGAAACGGTACACTAACCTAAAAGGACTGATTGCAGATCGACACAGTCGATTAGAAGCCGGTGCTGAAGAACTCAGTTCATTCCAAGTAAGGATTCTTTATGCTTTAACACGTTGACTGCCAAGCCTTTTTTCCTAGTTTTATGCCACACACCAAGGCATAAAGCACTCCACCATAATGAAAATCCTTCTCATGAATTGTAATGAAACACGAACGAACATTATGGTATTTAATTTTAGATCATTATATCTTTGTTCTTTCCCTAACCACCTGGGCGGGAGTTTACGTTGTGACAGCCACTGGCAGCAAGTTTATGTGCAATATAATAGTGATGTGATTAGAGAGGTGTAGATGTGAACTCGCATCCTTGGCTCTTTAAGTGAACCCTGTCAGATGAGAACTCGCGTTCCTGGCAGCGAATGCATTAAAAATGTCTATTTTTCTTTCATTTCATCAATTGCTAATTGTTATGGTATTGTAAGATGTTTCTAGACCATTATTTTTGATCAATTAATCTTTTTTACAGCTTATACTCAATGATATCAAAGAACAACTTGATGAACAAGAAGACATACAGGAGAAGCAAGACAGGATAGGTCGCGACCTTGATGTCCTCACCAGACAGGCAGAAGAAGCTAAGCAAACCAAAGCTAGCATGGATAACATCAAGGACGACCTACACAAGGTTAATAGGCGCTTCAGAGACATCATCGACAGAGGATTCCTCTCAGATCCAGAGGGCCTAAGAGAACAGGTAAAGAAAGTCATGATTAGCTAATAAATATTCATAGACAAAAACATGGTGTCACACATAGATTTTATAAGCATCAGTGGAGGCTGAGGTTTCCCAGTTCCAGAGTGCCCAAGAAAACAGGGAAATAATTTTTTTTTGCCATTTTTTATAACTAGCTAATGAAAATATTATGTCATCTATAGATTTGATTAGCATTATTACCAATAATTTAGTAAAATTAATATGTTAACATTCGAATAACAAAGTTAGCATAATGTGCATAGTAATATAAATACGTAACAAAAGATTTTAATATTCTTTAACATTTTCTATATCAATGATATTTCCCCAGAAATAGAATGTAAATGTAGAGTATAGGCAATTTATTAACTTTTATAAAGCTGTTGGATTTGTGGAAACTTGGCAACTACGTGCCAAGATTAATTAGAATTAGTGGCCTGTTAATTACCAATTTAAAAACAAACTGTGAATTTGATCTTTTCTTTGTCTTTTCCCCCTTTTAACTATTTCGGCACCACTTCAGACTTTTACTAATGTCCCAACTTCTGTGTGGCTTGCAATGAAGGTAAGCCCCAAAATCTCAGGAGAGCATCAGCATATTAGAGTACCTAGCTTGTCAGCCATTATTTACCTCTTGCATTGGAGTAAATATCCATCCCAGCCTGGAAACATCTTTGCACTTGTACAAAGCACGCTATCTGCACTCCCCAAATCCTATGAATACTGTATCCACATGTAATTTTCACAGAATTAATTTGTTCTAGAATTACATCACATTGGTTATATGTATGTAGATATAATTATGTATGCATGCAACTAAATGTCACATAATTAGAATCTTGCATATTTTTAAAATAATATACCATTTTTATAGCATGGATTCCATTTTCTTTTAATTTTGTTGAGACTTATTTTGTTCTCCCTGTACTGTTGAAGTGTTGTAAAGCATAAAAATTAGGGTTACCTTTAGAATTTGTATAGTGAATCATGAAGTCATTTAAACAGCATTGAATATGTTTCTAATAAACATGTATTGTAGTTGTTGCTGTTCTTGTTATTTTTATTATTTTTTATTGGTTTTTATTGTTTTGTTATATTGTTATTGTTTTATCATTATCAATATTGTTAATGTTACAGTTATTATATTTATAATTATAATGATGATTATTTACTATCATCATAATCATCACCATCATCATCATCATCATTGTGATTACTACTTTGTTATATTATTGCTTTTATTAGTAATTCAATAAAATGTTTCCACACTTACAGTAGTATACATTCTGTGACCCTTTCCATCTCTCTGCTCTTTCTGGTTGTGATAGTAATTGATTATAGCTTGAGCACAAATGTAAAAAAATAGTTTTATTTCATTTCAGCTTGATAATCTTGGTAAACGCCACTCGCGCTTAAAACAACGATGCGACAGTAGAAATGATGACGTGAACAAAGCCCTTGCTAAAGTGCGTGAGTTCCATGATGTTGTTGCACACCTTGATGCCGGTATAGATAATGCCGCTGATGAGCTCAAGATACAGAAACCAGTCGGTGCTGATGTGGAAACCATCAAAGCACAACAGAAAGAATTCAAGGTAGAAATATGTGATTTAAAAAGATGTCAAAAATGAAACAATAAATAAACTAATAATATCTTCTCTGTTAAATGTCTATGAATACCCCTCTTTTAAATTTCTAATAATAAATTTTCTACCTTTTCTCAGCTTTTAACAATACATTATTCCATAAGTTTCTAACAATACAGTATTCCTTAAACTTAAATATTCTCTAAATATCTAGCAAGCTTAGGCATTTATCAGTTTATCCAGGTAATTATTCAAGAAATAGACCTACCAATACACCTTCCTGAATATTTATCAATACCCCTCCTTTATTCCTTTATACTTTCAACATTACCCCACCATTTTTGTCTGTTCCCCATTGTTTATAGAATTATAGATATGATTATCTTATTTCTATAAGTATTATTTTTTTTCTTTTTCAGGCTTATGTCCGTAACCATGTAGATGTATTAGCTCCCAAAGTGAAGGAAATGAACCGCATTGGCCAGAGCCTGGTGCAAAGCGCAGCTCCTCGCGTCAATACTGGAAAACTTGAATCCGAAATGGAGAGAATAAACGAGAAATGGGCAGCAATAGATGCAAAGGTAAATGATGCTCATCCAATGAGTGGAACTGTAAAAATGCTTGCCTTTCAATTCAAGGTTCTGGGTTCAAATCGTTATCATTAGTCAAGTCTAAATATTGTGAGTCTGTAAATTTAAACAGATATTTCAAAACATTTATAAAAAGAAGAAAGTAAAAGTAGGAACATGAAAGTGGCAAGTTGTACTTGTTGTTATATTTAAAAGGAATAAAAAAAAAAAATAATGCGTTGATTCTAAATCTGCACTTTTATCCAAAATGAATATTAAAATAAGTTATTTTGCTTTTCGACACAGAAAACTGACCGTATAGGCAAGCTGAATGAGGGGCTTCTAAGATGTGGTCGTTTCCAAGAAGCACTGCAATCCCTCAACAACCGTATTGGTGACATGGAGGAACTAGTCTCCAATAAAAAGGATCCATCCTCTGACTACAAGGTTGTGAAAGCCCAGTTGTCAGAACAACAGGTAAACAAAAGTTTTTATATAGAATCTAAATTGATGAGGTAAATATTTTTATGCGAAATAGTCCCATCTATTTCTGAAATATTTACCTGAATAAAATGGTATATGCCAAGTTTCCATTTGTGGACGTTACCTCATAAGTGTTTAAATCAGCATTGGATTTGTTTTTATTTAGTTACTTGACAAGATGATCACAGATCTTGAGCCTAGTGTTGAAGCCTTGAAGACCATGGGAGAACAACTTGCCCAAGTATCTGAAACTCAGGATAAGGCACGCATCAACCAGCAACTCTCAGATCTTGACAGTCGCTGGGGCACCCTTGTTGAGGCTGTCCGAGATCGACGTCGACGCCTTGAAGCAACAGAGAAAACAGCTAAGGGCTTCCAAGAGCAGATCTCACCAGTAATGGAATGGATTGAGAAGACTGAACGGCGTCTTGGCCTACAAGAACCTGTTGGAACTGAACATGGAAAAATTGAGAAACAGATTGTTGAACAGCAGGTTGGTCATTATGATAGATTTCATTAATTTACATTTATTCCACAGGAAAATAATCAGTAACATATGATAATAATAATAACAAATAAACAGTGTAAAGTACACAAATTGATATTGAAGGCTCTTGAGGAAAAAAAATAACAGTAAAAAATGTCATCATACACAAAAATATTTCAACATTCCAATATAATATCTGTTTCTATCTTCCTTTGTATTCACTTGTAGAAAAATTGTCCTCTAAGACTATTTTCATTTATTTACCTAATTTTATTGTTATTATTACTATGAATGCTTTAGTTTTGTATGTTTAATATGATTACCTGATACTCTTTTATTCAGTCCATTAGCCGAGAAATTGAGATTTATACCCCAAAGGTAACAGGAGCAATCAAACTTGGTGCTGAGTTACACACCATGTGTGCAAATAGCGAAAAGGGCTCTTTAATGTTTTTCCTACTTGGTGTAAAACAACGACTCCGAGATATTAAACATCGGAATAATATCCGTCGGAAACACATTGATAATGCCCTGGAGGCATCTAGTGGGTTTCTTAAGGAAGAAGAGGTACTTTCCCGCTGGTTAACTTTCATGGAAAATCGGATGAAAAATAAGCCTGCTGTCTCTATTCACCCTACACTCACCAAAAAGCAGTTGATACAGCAGACGGTAAAATCATACATATAATACTGCTTAAAAGGAAGCTGTGGCCTTGGAAACAGATTAAATGTTACTCTAAAATGGAGCTAAAGCCTTAGAAATAGACTATTGCATGAAAACAGAGGAATTAAAATAATGTGATAATTGGCCATTACAAGATTAATAATGACTGTAAACATAGTATGAAAGATTAAAAATTTGCATAAATGAACCTAAATTTTACAGCACCTAGACTAATGAAATGCATGTTTTAAACATTGTTTGCTGCTTTTGTTGGTGGAGGAGTGCATTTTTAGAGAAATTATTTAAAAACAATATCAATTTGGTGAAATAATTTTTAGTTTTCTTATCAATATAATATTCTTCAAGCACATTGTCTCTCACCACCGAAATGTAGTGGCTACCTGTGGTAGGATTGAATATGTGCTGATTACTTGCTGCAACACATGGATTATTTTCCTGAGGGAGTTGAGGATTTGTTCCAATGATCAGAGTTGTACTGTGAAATGCATGGGGCTTTGGCATGTGCTATATAAGACTGATATGAATTGGTACTTACATTAATAGTCTCAACTTTGCCATTTCAAGGAGAATGCCCTTCAAAATATTGAAAATATCTGTTGCTGGCATGCAGCATTAAGAACTTCAATTGCCAATATTTGAACTTCTGATGTACCATATGGGCAAAACCCCTTACAACCAAAACAAGTTTCATGTTTGTCAGTCCAGCTTAAGTTAGGTAGTCAGTAGTCAGTCCTGGTATCCTGGTTTCCAAGACTTTAGTGATGAGTAGTCATGTTGTACATAAATTGTTCATAAATGTTCGTCCTTTGTCATGTAATGTTTGCTCTTATTTTTGGTGTAGTACTATCTATATGATTGAAGACTGGGTGAGCAAAAGATATAAAAGGAGCAAGAATAGAAATGGGGAGGAAGAGAGCAATATAGATGAAAAAGAAAGAAAGGAAAATAGAAATGAGAGGGTGATGGGAGAAAGCAATAGAAATATAGGTGGAGAGGCCAATTAAGAAAGAGAATGAACAGTAGATATGAGGAGCTGATGAGAGGAGAGACTAAGACATGATGTGATGGAAGGAAAGGACAACAAATATGAGAGGGTGATGGAAAGGAAACGGCAATAAAGGTAAAAGAATGATGGGTAAAAATATAGAATTGTGTGTTGACATCATTCATCATATTGCTACTTTACAGGATCTGCATTATGACATCACAGACCACAATGCTGATGTACAAAAGGTCATTGCTGACGGGCAAGAACTCCTCAAGCAGTGCTCTGGTAGGTCAAAGTTGAATAATTTATTGTTGCCCACCAGTCCTTGCATTTTGTAATTTTTTCATACAATGGATCACAAATTTTAAAATAAAAATTTCAATTATATTCAAATGTAATAAAATGATATGGTGAAACACCTATTGTGATATATAAAGATGATATAGATTAAATATCTCATTATTATTCATGATGTTGTTTTGTTGATGTTTGTTAGGCAAGGAAGTGATTGATGTACAACAGAAACTGGATGCAATCAAAGGTCGATACGCAGACCTGGTGCAGAAATCTGATGATCGTCTTAGCCTTTTACAACAAGCCTTGCCATTGGCTACAGAATTTGAAAAGAACCAAGTCGACCTTTCTGATTGGCTAGATAAAGTTGAGAATGAGGTGAAAAACTTCAACCACAATGCAAGCACAGAGAAGCAAAGAGCAAAGCAGGAGGTAAATGATTGATAAATCAACCAAGTGCATAATTATTAAATCTGTTTATGATATTACTACAGCATGGTTGGTTGTAGTTACTTAACAAACATGATCCAGAGCTAAACATTATATACACCAGTAACCAGTAATTATATATTAATAAATATATTGAATTATATTATTACTAATAAATTAATTTGTATTGATATGTATAATTTCTGTGATTTAGAAACTCCAAAATGAGATTGATACCTACCGAGATGTATTGAAAAACATGAACAGCAATGGTACAAAATTGATGGACATCAGTCCTGGGCAAGGCTCAGCTGACGTACGGCAACAGATGACCAGTGCAAATGACCGCTTCAACAAAGTTTCTAGTCAAGTGAAAGATGTTGAATACAAGCTGAGTGCAATGCTAGAAGGAGCCCAGAAGGTAATGCGATCATAATGATTAAATTGTATTCTAATGTTATGTGGTCTGGTGTTATATGATGATGTGATATAAACCTGTTATCTGTCACATAGGGATTGTAGTTATCTTGTGTAATCATGTGCTCTAATCATGTGATACATAATATAATGTCATTATTTGGTCTTATTGTTGATTTAATCATGTGATAAACATCTAGTTTAATCAATTGCAGTTGTGTTTATTTTGTTATAATTTCTTTATTTTAATAACTGAAATATAACCATGCTGTTTAACATGAGCAATCACAGTTTAATTTTCTATGATTTCTTGGGAGACATGGTAATGTATATTTATTTTCAGTTTCATTGCTGGTGATGGTAAAGAAACATAGGCTACGGCTAAGCTTTTGTACCAAGATCAAACTCATGTGTTAGTCTCTGCTTAAAAGTGTAATACTGTAACATTTTTTTTTTTTTTTTTTTTTTTTTATCAAACTTACAAATTACTTGACAAAAATAAATTCTGATTTGATTTATAATTTGTTTTAAAGGTTGAGGGAAATATGGACAACTTGCTAGCATGGTTGCAGGATATTGAGAAGAAACTGAACACAGCCTGCAAAGAGCCTATAAGCATCGACCCTGATGGAATCCGTGACCAGCTAAAGAAGGCCAAGGTTTGTATTTTCAAGTTACCATTTGTAATTTAAAATGCCAGTACATGAACCACATTGAAGCAGAATATTTTTTATCGTGTCTGTTACTTTTGTTACTATTTTGTTATTATTTATTTTTATTTTTGTATTTTTTTTTTTCTCTCTTTGTGGTCCAACAGAACAATATTTTTCATTAATTGCCATAGTTTAAAATACATAAAATTCCTATATTAAACATAAAAAACTACATATAAAATATGAATAGATTAATGAGAAATGCACCTGTTAACAAAATAACCTCAAGCACTTTTATAGCACTGACCATAAGCCAAATATATTTTAGTAAATTGAAAGGTGTGTACAAAAGACAATAAAGTACAATTGTTACTTTTTTTTTACACTTTTAGGCCCTTGACCGAGACATCCATGCTAAAGAAAGCAGGGTACAAGATACCATTGGAGCTGCTGAAAAACTCTTGGAACAGACAGCTGATGCCCGTCAGAAGGCGAAGCTCCAGAAGCACATTGATGAACTGGATAGAACATACAAAGACATTTCAAACAAGAGTAACAAACGTGTAGAGGAACTTGAAGAAGCTCTGCCGTTGACATTACAATTTGTAGAATCGCACGAGGAGCTTGCTCAGTGGCTGAATGATATCGAAGCTGAGCTTAGAAATCAGCGACCACCTGGTCTAGATGCTGAAGAGATCAAAAAAGAGGTTAATAACAATAGGGTATGTGAACCATTTTGAGTATGATACCTTTATCACAGGAACAATATATCAGCATCGATCTTAGTCATCTTCATGATTATCACCATCATAATTATCATCGTTTCCACAGTCTTCCCCCTCATGACCACATCATAATCAATAAAGACATTTTCTTTCCATTCCCTCATTCTCCCCTCCCCTTCCTTATTTACTAAGTTTTTTTTTTTATCTCCAGTTAATGCAGCAAATGGTTGCTGAGAAACAACAACACATCAACAAACTGAACAGAATCGCTCCTCAGCTGTGTGACCTCAGTCCAGGATCTGGAGCCAGAGGAATCCAGGCCAAGGTGGAGGATGATAACAAACGATATGAGAAAGTAAAAGAAGAAGTGAACAAGAAAGGAAACCAATTGTTTGACTTCCTTCAGAGAACAACCTCTGTAAGATTAGCAATTAGTAATCATTAAGAAAATTTTATTTGATAGTGGTTATAGTAAATTTCTGTATTCAGAATATAAGGATCATCATTTACCTGGTAACTATGTAATGATTGCTTAAAAAACATGATAACCTTGTTTACATTGCAGTTTGTGGAAGACCTTGATTCAGCTCTAGAGCAGCTTGGTATTATGTCTGAGAAGCTAGGCCGCCCTGAAGGTGTGTCATCTGACCCACACATGCTTAGGAAGCAAATCAAAAAGCTCCAGGCTCTGCAGAATGAAGTTGACAACCAGATGGAGATGGTAGAATCAATGAAGAAAGCTGGCAATGAGATGATCAAGAGTTCAGAGCCGGATGATCCCTCATGTAAAGGTTGGTGAAGAGCTATTTCTTTTATTGGAAAAATGGTTAAAAACATACAATGGTGATTCAATTTGTGCAAGTTGGTGAATAATGGTTTGTCTACTCTCTCTTCCTTATTTCTCAAAAGAACTTCAAGAGAAGATCAACCTCCTTGGTAACAGATGGGAGTCAATTGTAAAGAATGCCAACGAGCGGTCTGGTGCATTGCAAGAGACACTCTTAGCTGCTGAATCTTTCTGGGATGAGCTGCAAGGAGTCCATGCCACCGTAAAAGAGCTGCATGAAACCATCAAAGCTCAGGATCTACCAGCAGTGGAAGTGAATTCCATCAAAGAACAGCAAGATGTTCTTCAGGTATGGAATCAAAATAATAATTATTCCATCAACTATCTTTAATATCTCTACCAGCACTGTCATCATCCTTACCCTCCACCACCATGCATCTTAACTTCATTGCTTTCCACTAACAATGATTTTGTTTCTTCAGGCAATCAAGGAGGAAATTGACAGCACGGCTCATGACATTGAGACATGCCGTCAGTTTGCAGCTGATTTGATGAAACTCTGTGGAGATGCTGAGAAACCAGAGGTCCAGAAAAATATTGATGAACTTAACAATAGCTGGGATGCCCTTAATACTGCCTATGAAGATCGAGAAGATGCTCTAGTTCAAGCGTTGAATCTTGCAACACAATTTGAGGAGGATTTGATCAAGATGATGGCTTTTCTGAACAAAGCGGACGAGAAATTGGCAGCTATGGAACCAGTTGGTGCTGATCCTGAAACTGTTAGGCAACAGTTGGATGAGATTAAGGTGAGATGATATAAAGATGAAGAACAATTATCCGTAAATAATGGATGATGGCAATGGTTATATTGTCAACAACGACGATGATGAATATAATGATCTTGATGGCAATTATGATGTAAATAATTGTTAATGAGGATGTTGATGCTTATGGTAATTATTATTTTGACAACAATTATGGTCATAATTGACTTAAAAGTGATTGTACTGCGGTTGGTTTTGATACTGATAAAGCCTAATTGTAAATTTAATATTAATGGATATTGTGATGAGAACAATGTCAGTTTTGCTGAAGATGATATTTAATGTTGAAAACAAAAACAATTTATTATTTATGTACATTTTCTTATTATATTATCTCTAGGACTTCAAAGAAGAGGTGGATAAGAGATCTGTAGAGCTAGAAAAACTACATCAGCAGTGTAACAAGCTTTTGGCTAAATCCACTGAGGAAAATGCAGAATTTGTGAAAGGTCCTTTGAGTGATGTTGACAAACACTGGAAGGAACTGAATAAAGCCATCTTCCAAAGACAGGTATAATTAATGTAATTTATTGTAGTTTAATTAGTATATCAGCAGAATTTCTTGACTAAGGTTTTTTATCAATATGGTTAGAAAATAAAATAAAAGTGAATATTGTTTTAGTTATAATAAAATAATTAAATGTAAGTTGCAGTTGCAGATTTGTAAATTTGTTAAAATTAAGCATTTACATTCATATTCCAGCATCAACTACAAGCTGGTCTATTGGCTCTTGGTCAACTTGATGGGTCACTTGATGAACTTAAGAACTGGCTTGACCGCACCAACAATGCAATAGATGAAGAAATACCCATCATATCGGATCCCAAATTTGCCGAGATTGAACTTGCCAAACACAAGGTCAGAAATACAGGAATTTTTTATCTTGAAATTAGTGCACAAATTTGCATAACAAGTTTGTTTAATACATAAATTCCAATTGTTGTTTTCTGTATTAATATTTATGCCTTGACATATTTTAATCTTTATTATTCATGGGATATTAATAATTTATTGGATGATAATTAGAATATTGATGTGCACCCTCTATATTTAACAAAATTTAATTGGTCTTTACAGATCCTCCAAAATGACATCATGGCACATGAGCCTAGTCTAGCTTCCATTAACCAAGCTGTTAGAAACTTTGCTGCTAATACCGACAACCCCCAACTGGCAAGCGTAATCAGCGCCAAACTTGACAGTCTGAACAAGGAATGGGAAAACTTAGTTGCTAAGGGTAACCAACGTCAAAAAGACCTTGAAAATGCACTTGGAGAGGTAGGTTTATATGGAAATTAGTATTTTTATATAATTTTGTGTTTTGCATAGGAAACCAAAGAAAATTAATTCTTGAGAATCCAAAAAATTCAAATTTTTTCTATATTTACCCATTGTCTTTTATCTTTAGTCCAAGACACTTCAAGATGAAGCTCGTCGTCTGCTAAGCTGGCTGCGCGATATTGATGGTCAGTTATCAGCAACTCAACCTGTAGGAGGGCTTCCAGAAACTGCCAAAGAGCAACTTGAAAAACATAATGTAAGAACAATTAATACTTTGCCATTCATTTTGAATTAAAATTATGTTTAATATGTATATTTTATATTATTTATGGTTATACTTTCTTCTTCAACTCTGTCTCCTTTTAATATACGGATACAACATAAGTAGTTTTAGGAGGTTTTTTGCAAAAATAAATAGAATAAGCAAAGAAATATTGTGAGAAAATAATGAAAAATTCATACCTCAGAATGTCATTGGCCTTGTGTTGATTGATTTGGTTATAATATTTTTTTAATTATAATTTTAGGAGTTGATGAGACATTTTGATCGTGAAATCCCAGCTTACCAGAGACTCATGGAGACAGCAAAGAAAATGACCACAGAGGGTGAGGGCATTGGCCAGCTGATGGATGAATTGAAAACCCAATGGAATACATCAAGAAACAAAGCAGATGAAAGAAAGGTACTTAATATTGAAAACAGTGTCATGTCAATTTTAAGTTTGTGTTAAAAGCTAAGCACACCTCAAACATTCTGTTCTTATGTTTCCGCTGTTGCTAAGTTTGTTGTACTTTCAAATCAACTGATAGAGATAAAAACATCCAATAATGAACTTAGACCATATACTATAAATGGCACAAAAAGCCAGACAATCAGAAAATATTAATAATTATAGTAATAATAAAAATGGATAAAAAGAAAAGTAAATCACAAACATTACACAAAATGCTTGCAAACACAAGTACAAAACATATTGCTAAAATCATAATTTTGAAACCTTTAAGAAAAAGCTAGAAGATGCATTGGCGCAGGCCCAGCAGTTCCATGATGCATTGCAGGCCTTCATCTCGTGGTTAACAACTGCTGAGAAATACTTGAACAGCTGCAAGCCACCAAGTACAGTGTTAGAAACAATCTTACAACAAATACAACAGCATAAGGTAATGTCTGCTTGGATAACACATTTGTATAACTAAAAACGGATATTGTGAATGTGATTACTTGTTTTAAGTATTAATTCAAATACAAATGTGTGCCTTTGTTTTAATTTCTAATCATATTTTTTTTAATTTGTTTCTATTTAAGTTTTTTTTTCACTTTTCTCTTCTCAACCTCATTCTCTCCATTTTCATTATTTTCTCCGTCTCCACCCTCTTACCTGCTCTCTCATTCTCAACATCTCCCCATTTCTTCCTTCTTTATCTTCGTAATCCTCTCATTCCATTTTCATTTATTGGTTATTTTGTTACTTGATATATAACATCTCCATAAATATCCTTTTACTAAATTATTAGGTCTACGCATTGTAGAAATCTTTTATATATTTTAATAAACCCTGTTTATTAGTTATAAAATATTCTGTTTTTTGTGACATGTTTTTAAAAATATTTTGTAGGAGTTTATGAAGGACCTAATTGGTAAGAAGCAGACAGTCTTGGATCTTGATCGCACTGGAACACAACTGAAATATTTCAGTCAAAAGCAGGATGTGATCCTGATCAAGAATCTACTGATCAGTGTCCAGAATCGCTGGGAAAAAGTGCAGAATCGCAGCAATGAACGCAGCAGACAACTAGAGGCCGGCAACAAGAGAGCTAAACAGGTATGTTTTATACTCCCCTCTAGTGGCACTAGAATATGTAGCAAACTCTAGTGTCCTATATAGCCTATATAGAATCCTTTTTCCTCTTGACTCACCTATACAGTAAGGTCCTAAAATATGCTTTAACAGTTTCATCTGTTGATGTTTTTTTTATTTTTCTGTATTTCAGTTCGATGAGCAATATAACAAGATGTATGAATGGTTAAGTGATGCAGACAATAAATTAACCTATGACCGTACAATTGGCTCAGATCCAGCAACTCTCAAGGCTCAACTGAGAAAGCATAAGGTAAAACACTTTTTCCTACTACACATACAATGGAGTGAAATCATTAAAGGAATAATTTCCCCACTCTGCAATTAGCTGCAATGCAGTACAACACATTTTTACGTCCCTCTTATTCTGCTGTTTAGAATAAATGTAACATTATCCTTTGTTATATAATCTTGGGTAAACACCTCCAAGGTAACAACACCAAACTGTCATTTGAGTAATTACTGTTTTGTTGGTTTGCAGGAGTTCCAACGAGCACTTGGAGCAAAGCAGCCTAACTATGACACCATTGTACGCAACGGACGTGCACTTCGAGAGAAGAGTGATCCAAATGACATGAGAGTCATCGGTGGAAAGCTATCCGAGCTCAAAGACAAATGGGAACTGGTTTGTGCTAAGTCAGTTGATAGGTAAAGAAATCATTTTAAATTCATGTTGTACTTGTAAAGCCTGATTTATTGATTGTCTAACTAGAATTGCCTTATTACAAATTGGCTGATACCTCCTGATTCGTTAGCAGTAAACAAATAAACAACCTGGGTTAAACTGTTATACATCAATTATGTTCCTAAGTTTTATTAACTACATCTTTCATTTATCAGTTTCCATATCCATACCAACTATTATTGGTTTTGTTGTAGTTTGTTGTATTTGTAAAGATGGAATTTCATGTCTAATATAATTATTATATAATTTAATTTTTCAGGCAACGAAAATTGGAGGAAGCCCTGCTCTTCAGCGGCCAGTTCAAGGATGCATTGCAAGCGTTGTTGGACTGGGTGTATCTTGTTGAACCAACACTCTCTGAGGACAACCCAGTTCATGGCGACATCGATACAGTCATCAACCTTATGGAAGCTCATAAAGTGAGTCAATTTTTATTTTTATGACCATGAACTATCTGTCAAAGCTAATCATTTTGCACTTCCTCTAAGCTCCGATATTAGGCTTGGGAAGTGGTGTTTTTAGTCCTGAAATTTTGGTGCCGGAATTAAATCCAGAATTAAAAGACTGGCATTTTGATTGCTAATTTCCACTAACAAATTATATTAATTATATATCTACTTTTACATTATTTATCTAATTACATTTTCAGCAATTTCAGCGAGATCTATCGAGTCATAAAACCAGTGTGAAATCTGTGCATAAATCTGCAAAGGAGTTGATGGAATCAGCCAGTGAAGACACTTCCCACCTGAAGGCTAAGCTACAGGAACTTACCACCAAGTGGGAAAATGTCTGCCAGCTGAGTGGACAAAAGCAAGAACGACTGGATAGAGCTATGAAAGAGGTAGGCTTAGCAGACAGCTCAGTTATCTACACCTAAGAGGATACCGTAGTTCAGTTGGCTTTCTTATTTTATGCAGGGACCACTGCATGGATAGAACCATGTGGATTAAGGGATACCTGATTTAATCCCATCAATCTTCTTTTTATGTTTGTCTGCTAAGAATCTGAAACATAGTCAATGTACTGCACATTTTTTAGACAAGGAATAAGATATTGATCTTTGAATTAAATGAATTTAGACCTAATAAGTAGCATGTGGACCCTTTGGAATTTAGTCTCATATTAAGCTTCCAATTATTTTGATTATGCAGGCAGAAGCATTCCATGAAGCTGTACATCATCTTCTGGAATGGCTGGCAGATGCGGAGCAGAGCTTGCGATTTCATGGACCAATGAGTGAGAATGTTGAAGTCTTACAAGAACAGTTGGAAGATCACAAGGTAATTGATTTTTTCCCTGAAATTAAGAGAGTTGGGCTTTGAGGTTTTGAGACATTGTAAGACACCAGCATTTTTTTTTCTCACAAACTACTCCATGCCTTAAGCCTCTTAAGGAAACTCTGACTCTAGAGTATCACATTCCTGCATTCTGTAATTTCTTGCACTCCTTTTTGCCTAGGACTTTAAACGAAAGTTCCAAGCTCAAGAAAGTGAACTAAACAAGACCACACAGATGGGAGTTGATATCCTAGCCAAATGCCACCCAGATGCAGTCACCGTCATTAAGCATTGGATTACAGTCATACAGGCTAGATGGGAAGAGGTTTGTAGTATTATTCAAATTATTTGGCTTATAGAAGACATTCATTGACTCAGATCATGGCATTACCAATCTTATTTTTAGTTCTTGAGCATATATTATGATGTTACATTTTTTTAAAACATTTTAGGTAAACAACTGGTCAACTCAACGTGGTGACCGCCTAACCACAGCATTAGATGCCATGAAAGACAATGCCGAACTGGTGGAAGCACTTCTGGAGTGGCTTGCAAATGCAGAGGATAGTCTGCAGAAGAAAGATGCCACTACCATACCAGATGACATCGAATTTATTCAGAACCTTTTAGATGAACATCAGGTAAGAATTATAGTGATGGTAATGATGATTATTATTTTTAAAATAATTAAATTTGCATTCCATACTATGGTTATCATGTTTATAACATAAAACATAACTAAATTTTTAAAATAATTTTATAATTAAAATAGTTTATTTTAATTGATTTTATAAAGGAGCAGCTACCTACAAATATGAAATCTGTTTACCATTACATTGAGCATAATCTTAATTTGATTACAGGCATTTGAAGATGACATGGCCAGCAAGCAAACTGAAGTAGACAAACTCACCAAACCACGCAAACGACGCCTGTCTGTTGATAACAGTGCCACTGGAATCCCAATGCTTGATAGAGGGCGTCGCACTAAGGGCGGTAAACCTCGCAGCAGGGATCCTAGCCCAGGACCTGACTCCAGCATCAGTCCTAGAGTCTCTCTCCTGTTCAACAAGTGGAAGCAAGTCTGGCTAATGGCGATGGATCGTAGAAGACGATTAAAAGATGCACTTGATCGGCAAGCCGAGGTAAGGCAGTTTCTAGAATTGCATTCTTACTATGTCACAGTAAATAATTTATTGCTCATTTTCTTATTCTTATTTTTTATTCGCTAAAAAAGTACAATACAATGGTGGAATACATACAGAATACATATACACTAAATTGAAGAGTGGGCAAGGACACAAAAGGGAACTTAATCACTATAGCAGAAAGAACCTCACTCGTTCAGTTTAACATAAATACAGTTATAACGAATATAGGTCAATTTTAATATAAGTGAAACAAAATAAAATTTTTATGAAATCCAAAGCTGTATTGGCTTGTCCTAATTTACTCTACATAAGCCTGTAATACTAACCTGTAGCTACTTGAAAGAAGGCGTAAGACATCATTACAATTATTCTAAATTTGTATTTTGCAGTTGAAGAAACTGAAGGACTTTAATTTTGACAAATGGCGCGATAGATACGTGAAGTGGATGAATCATAAGAAGGCTCGTGTAATGGACTTCTTCCGTAAACTAGATACAGATCGTGACGGTAAACTCACCCGCCAACAGTTCATCGATGGCATTATTGGATCCAGTAAGTACCATTGGATAGAGAATGATGTTGCTAATATATTGTAATCAGTAAAAATAATTAATAAGTAATGACAACAGTAATAATGTTAATGAAATAATTAATTAAAGGAATATTAGTGTGCTACAAATTATCCTAGCCATTTGATCAAACATTTATGAAACCCTTAGTATTTATTAATGTTATTGGTATATTCAATTTATGAAGTAAATACAAAACTTTGATTACAACTAATATATATTTTCATATTTTATAGAATTTGCTACCAACCAGCTTGAAATGAATGCTGTGGCTGACATCTTCGATCAAGATGGTGATGGCTACATCGACTACAAAGAGTTCATATCAGCACTTTGGCCACAAAGAGAAATTGCCAAGCCGTTAACAGATGGACAAAAAATAGAAGACGAGGTTAGAAATTACATGCATCTTGGAGACAGATATTATTTTTTTTGTTTAACTGGAGTCAAATAGAATAATAATTATAATAATGAAGATGATAACAATGATGATAATAGTAAGAAAATAATTGTATTAATAATAATGATAATATAAATGATATTAATTGTTCTATACCATTCTTAACCAAATTCTACTTTAAAAACTAAATTTATTTATTTTTTAGGTTAAACGACAAGTGTCCATGTGTACATGCTCCAAGCAGTTCAAGGTTCAGCGAATTGGTGAGAGCAAATACAGAGTAAGAACATTTTGTTTGTTGAATTGTGACATTACAAAACAATTTTTTTTAAATGGGAAATTGTATATTTTCCTCTTTTTACAATTATTTATATATTTCATTTTCGCCATAGTTTGGATCATCTCAGCAGATGCGTCTAGTACGCATTCTTCGCAGCACAGTCATGGTACGCGTAGGGGGTGGATGGAGTGCCCTTGATGAGTTCTTGGTTAAGAATGATCCGTGCAGGGGTAAGATATAATCTTCTTTCATATTTCAAATATTGTTTTTAAACTTCAATGAATCACAATCTCTTAAGCCTGGTCAACACTATCAGGTTTTATATGACAAATATCTGTGATTATACACCAATATATGGGCAAATTACTGGTATTTTCTACATAAGATTTAATTTACTCTCAGTAACTTATCAGTGGGCCATAAAAATATTTATACAGGGCACTGACAGCATAGTTCTAGGAGGAATGATCAACCACAACCTTATAATAATGTATGTTTTAACTGTATAATCATATTTTTCACCATTTTAGCTAAAGGTCGCACCAACGTTGAACTAAGGGAGAGATTTATCTTAGCTGCTGGTGTCAGCCAAACCATGGCGCCATTCCAGTCGAAACGAAGCATGCGGTCGCGTTCACCATCTGAATGCAGTACGGGTAGTGCCAGTATGTCGGGCCCTCTAATAAAGGTTAGTTACATAACTGTATTACTATCAAAACCAATCACATTGTTTATATCAGGATGTTTTATGTCTATTTCATGAATACTTACCTGGATAAACTGACTAATTGCCATTGTTCCTTTAAGAATACCCCTATGACAAAAATAGAACCATCTGATTGTCCCAGCATGTAACTGCGCACATGCCCAAGCGTCGTCCTCATTCCTTGGATGTTTTATATTGTCAATTGTCATAGAAGATTTTATTTCCTTTTCATAATCATTTTTTTTCTTTATACAGATAAGAGAGAAAAAGAATATTTCTCGGCCGTGGCAGGAAACTCCTAGAACCACCCGTACCAGAACCAAAGTGACTGAGAGCCCCGACGGAGGCATTACCAGAACAACAACGAGTCGCACAAATGGTACAACAATGACAAGGAAATTGACAACAAGAGATGCGACACCAGGTGAGAAAACTTAATTTATTTGTAGTTTATACCTTAAATCTGTTGAGTACTGGAATCTTCATTTTCTTTACGTTTAGTTTTTTTAGTTGCATTCCCAGTACCACCTGTGAGAATTCTAATCACTAGTGTGTTCTAAAGCAAATGAGGCTGTGTGATGCACCAATCACTGATGCGAGAGCTAAGGATGTTTGCTTTTTAACTATTATAAATGAAATAAATTTTGAGTATATGATAAATTCCGACACTAAATTTATATGAGCTATTGGGAATGTACTTTTTTATTTAGATAAATTTAATGAGGCTTGCCATACCAAAACCACCATCAGTGACCAAAAAATAAAAATTGACTTTTTAAAATATATTATTAATCTTCACATTATAAGCTTTAAAATGATGGGTCACTTACTGCAATCGACTTACCTTTGCCGAAGTTATGAGTAAAAGTTTTACAGCTTCTCTGTACTAAAGTAAACAATACTGCCACATTCTCATGCTAATTACTTAGTTTAACAATTAGCAACAGATTCTGGTTTTGTGATGGCAAACCTCAAACTTTTATAAGTATACGTTGTACAAATTAATGTTCTATCTCTCTTGTAAAGATAAAAAACCTCGTAGAGTGCCAATATCCTGGAGAGTACCTCCTCGTAAGTAATGTTCCACTTATGGACGGACAACTGGGGTTTATTGAAAGTTTGAAAATGACAAAAAAGAAAGAATATAAATTGACTAACAAGTGGGTGCATGTTGGAACCTGATGTACCTGTTAAAAATAAGTTATTTTAAAAAAAAATATTAATATGGTATTAGAATTTCTCAAATTATTGTGTATTGGTATACTTGATCCTAAGTGGATCATTCCAGATATATTTAATGTTTTTTCTTTTCCTAAAAGTTTCTAGGAGTATTACCTTATAAATCTTCATGCTTTCTTCAACTTTTTTTTCTTTAATATATTTTGTTTATTTATATTTATTATTTCAATTTTGCTTTCTTTTGTTTTAATTGAATTACTGACATTTTGGTTCATTATTTTCTATTTTGGTTTTGTTTTTTCTGAGGTTTCTTAATATAATGTTGGTGTTGAAATCTAGGGCAAAACCTAAAAACATTCAATTAAAACATTATATTGGTCATTTACAATGATCAAATAAAATCAATGGAACCCAGATCAAAACAATTGATTGACTTTCTGCAGATTTATTATGAGTCTCCATAAATTGTTTACCCTTTCATTTTTAAAGGTCCATGCAAAAATATATAAATTTAACAAAATAAATAATATTTGTAATTGGCAAGGAAAATGTATCGACTAATTTCCAGTTTAATGCTAATAACTTTCTTAAATATACAAAGTGAACAATATTTGTATTTTTGCTCAACACTAACAGCATACCTGTAACCCTCTTTTGAAACACATTTTTATCATTACACTATTCAGGAACTTCCTTTGCCTTCAGGAAGTAAATACAGAACTACCTACGCCTTATGCTTTCATACTGTATATATTTCTTACAATGTCTTCTTTACATGCATACTTTACGTATATGTTTTATGTGATGTTCAATTTTTACAATAATTTAAAACTTTGAAGCAACCAGGAAACTACAGATATCGCTTTGTCAGATGACTGGTGTACCTGGGTCACATGACCTGGTCACACGACCACAGATGAATGGATTGTTACCTTCAATGTTTTATGTGTCTTCTACTTGCTCCCTCTTTTCTAGATCTTCTATCGCCTGTTCAAGATGAATTTCAAAAGCGTTACGGCTCAAAACGCTAACGGGTGACGTGATCAATCCATCTTTACTAACTGACACATTAACTTTGATCTGATCAAACATGTCGTCAACAAATATGTAAACCAATAGAGGGAAGATAGTGGGGCTTTATCAGTAATATGGAAATCAAGTTTTATAACTTAATTTAAAACCATAGAGTGATTAGTTTGATCAGACCAGGTCCAGGAGCTCTAATCGATGTTAGCTTATCAACCCACCATCGGTAGTCCAGAAGAGCTTCCAAGGAATATTGAAGTTAATGTTGTCACACATTTCAGCATGGAACTAACTCTCATGTTATTGTGCATGCCATATCTAATCATAATATTATATTGGTCATATGTATTTTTTTATACATATTATAATAATATAGATTTTGTTTTCTTTTTTTAACCTTGATTCTAGAGATTTGTTTTTCAGCTGTGTTTAACCATTTTAACTTTGATTTCTTTTAAATGAGTTAAATGCGTCAAAATTTATTTACATTCATTCTTTTTTTTCCCTTTATTGCATAGTGTCAGTACCATGCTTTTGTTAAACTTACTTTATCATTAGTCAATTATATGCCCCAGGTTATGTAGGGATGGACATGTCTTTAAGATAATACCATTATCAAGATCTATGTGTTAAACCCCTATTAAAAATGGGATCATCTGGACAAAATATCATTAAAATCGTCAAAATAGCAAATTTGATTTGCAGTTGGGAGAATTATTTTATGCAAATAATATTATTTATTTTTTGCAAATAATCTGATTATTTTATGCAAATGATTAGAATTATTGTATGTAAATTCATAATAAGGGATTTCTTTCTTTATTGTCTTTGGTTTTTATTTATGCTTCTTATCTATATCAGATCAGTAGGTTTGCTAGAATTTATTCTGTAAGAGGTCAATATGTGTTGTGTTGTATGGTTTTATTGCTGATAAGTTTAACACTACCACTTGATGCATTTCATTTTAGTACAGTCATCCAACGACTTTGTATGCTTTGCCAATGTTTTTGTCAGTTTACTCAAGTTACCATGAATTTATTTTGCGATTGTTTAACTCATTCGTAAGATCATGAGTCAGCTTATTCTAGAGCATGCTTCAGCATTTGATGAATAACTATGTTATTAATTAATAATCTAATTACTTCATTATAGTAATCTTTGCAGTTAATTGCATTTGATAGATGTGCATTTGTATTTTGGACTGATTATTAGCATATGAAGTAAGGGACATATAAAACCTTTCAAAAGTATTGTGACAGATTAAATTACTATTTATTATGCACTTTAATGACTGAGAGAGTCTTCTAGAGATTTCCACATTAAAGTCGATAAGTGATGGAAGATCTTGCAACAGAGTGAGAGAATCTGAAAGAAGCAGTGGAGTGATTCTTCTTGAATTTGCAAAATATAATTTTTTTTTATTAACATTGCATGATGTTATTTAAGCAACAAAATGTTAAGTTCATAACATTCCTAATGATGCATACACATTAATGGAATAATTATATAT